AGAGTGCTGGGATTACAGGCGTGAGCCACCACGCCCGGCCTGATCTGCAGTCTTGACCTTTGGGGAAAGTGGTAAAGGCTGCAGTGTAGGAAGCCTGCCTGTCAGAACTGGATGGGATCTTAGAACAGAAGAGTAAGGGCAGGGAAGGCCCCTCACCTCTACACTGTTTCATGGCACTCCTTGCAGGGGCTTTGTACCCCAGATCCCCACTCTGAGCACATGAGCCCTCTGCTCCTTCTGCAGCAAGTGGGAATTTCCTGTTGATGTTGCCCTTCTGGCTCCATCTATTCTACTCCAGCACAAACATGCCTATGTTTAGAATGCCTTCCCAGGTTGGTCACTGCCCCTAACCTCTTTGTTCTGGTACCTTCATTTTTTTACCCTGTCTCATAGCCAAGACACTGGGAACTGCCTAAGTTTTAGCAAAGTATACGAAACATTATAAAAAGGAGCAGGGGCACTATCCTCTCAGCCAGCCTTGATGGAAATGAGGCAGGTAGCTGCTCAGGTCCTGCCCTATCTGTGCTCTGTCATGAGGAGCAACTGTGTCCAGAGTGCCTGTCCTTTGAGGGCACCTAGGCCCCCTCTCTCCTACTGCATGGTGTGGGCTTTACAGTGTACACCACTTCTTGGTCACCTTTGTATTTTTCTTTTATTGAGATGGGGTCTCGTTCTGTCACCTAGGCTGGAATGCAGTGGTGTGATGATAGCTCACTGCAGCCTCAAACTCCTGAGCTCAAGGGATCTCCCACTTCAGTGTCCCTAGTAGCTGGAACTACAGGTGCATGCAACCATGCTTGCCTAATTTTTTAATTTTTTGTAGAGACGAGGTCTCACTGGGTTATCCAGGCTGATCTCAAACTCCTGGCCTCAAGTGATGCTCTTGCCTTGGCCTCCCAAAGCACTGGGATTACAGACGTGAACCACCACGCTGGGCCCAGCTTTCCACAGTGCCTGATAAGGGACAGTGAAGACTGGTGGGTTGGTTGAATGAAAACCTGCCCTTCCAGAACAAAATCCTGCACATGGGAGGTGCCTAAGTTAGGGAAGAAGACCTAATGGAGCTGAAGAAGTGAGTCAGAGGAGTTCTGGTCAAGGATTAGAGGCCATCCCACCCCAGTCCCATCTTTGGCCAGAACCCCAGACCCTTGCTTTTCTATAACCTCGTTGAGGGAGGGCTAGACAGTTCATCCAAGATGCCTGCAGAGGGCGCTATGAGCTCATGTCTTTCTCCTGGAGATAGAGCAACACCCTTGCAAGCCAACCCTGAGCTCTGGGGAAGAGGGTTGTAGCTGGGTCTGTGTGTGAAAGCCAACCTTCTTGGAGGACCCGAAAGACTGGTCCAGTTGGGAGGACTGAAGCCTGAATCAAGCCTTGTCTTCTCTCCCTAGACTGGGAGTTGAGGCAGAGAGTTCAATGGAAACCAGAGGCTCCCAGGGAGGATGGCAGTCCTAGGCTCCAACTCACCTAGTGGGGGTGGGGGTGGTGAGGAGCATTGTGGGACCCTCTGGGAGAGGGAGCTTGTCCAAAACCGACCCCAGACTTACAGGCAGGCTGGGTTGGTTCTAGGTCTCACCGTCAAACCTTGACTTTCTCCTAACCTGGAATGGAGCAGTGGGCAGAGGGCCAGGTCCCCGTGGAGGTGAGCCCAGACACAGCCTGGGGATCCTGGGGATCTGGCCAGCTGAGCACACCATGCCATCCATGGGCAGAGCTGGATTGGGTGGGGCCAGGCCGTGAACATCACCTCTTTGGCTAGGGGAGGGTGGGGAGAAGCTGGACAGCAGGTGCCAGGGCAGTGCCAAGATATCTGGACACCTGCTGCCACCCACTGCATCGGCACCAGGGGCAGCAAGTGGCCCAGGAATAATGACCTCTTCCTCAGGGAATGGGTGCCTTTACAAGGCAGGTTGGCGCCAACCTCCGCTCTCCACCCAACCTATCTCCGAGTGCTTAGTTGCAGGCTGCCTGCACCTGACCTGCCAATTAACCCTGGCAGGGGTATCACAGCCACCTAATCACCATCATTAAGTAAGGGGGCATGAGGACTGCATGGCTCCCAGAGACCTGCGGGTGAGAAGGGCAAAGGTGCTAACCTCTTGGCTCTTGGACCCCTGGGGCTCTGCTCCACCCCAGAGGCTATAGGCCTGGGGGAGACAGAGGCGTCTCCACCCTTGGAGGACAGAGGGAAGCCAGATGTTTCCTCCTGCTCCCTCACACGTGGCCCTGACACCCGCCGGCACCCGCCGCCAGGTCCGGAAACAGGAGTAAATAATACAGGGGGAGGGGGCTGTGGACGCGAGTGCAGATGCTGGCGGGAGGCGCTCTGCCGGCTCTTCAGGGCAGAAGGGGATGCCGCTGGAGTTGAGGGCAGTGGGAAGGTGAGACCAAGGGCAAGCAGGCTCCCTAACCCAGGCAGAAGCTGGACTCCCCTCGGACTGGCACTAGCATGAGGGACAAATGGCATTTAGGGCATGCCAATGGGTCAGGGCGGGGGCCGGGGGCGCCCGGGGCAGGCAGGGAGGGGGAGTCCGCGCCAGGCCTTGGCTCCAGCCCTTTCCGGCCCTTATTGTCCTTGGTGAGAACAGGACGCTGTCCCGTTCCCACTGCCTGGCCCCCCCAGCTTTGCTCCCCAGGGGCTCGGGAAGGATGTTGGGAAACAAGAGAGAGGCAGAGACCCGTAGAGGCAGAGATGCTGAGAGACACAGAGACAGATACAAAGGGGAAAGGTTCCATCAAAAGCAAGCATTGAAGCTCATTGTGAGCAGAGCGGGGCCTGGGCGCTGTGGGAACCAGGAAAGAATGGGAAGCCGGGAGGCCCTGCCCTTGGGGCCCTCCTGGGCTGGCCTGCCCTGTGCACACTCCTTGACTTAGGGTCACTAACTTCTGCCTCCTAAGCAAACAATGATTGGCGCCCTAGTGCAGGCACAGTTGGGGGCACTTAATTGCTCCACTTTAGGTACATTTCTTCGCCTTCCGCCCAGCACACTGGAAGTTCCTCAGGGGGTAACACCAGGATCATGTTCCCAAATCCCACCCCCACCCCTCCCAGGGCTGAGAGCCAGCTGGCCACACAGAAGTTGCACTGTAGAAGCTATTCCATTGAGTTCCTGCAGAGGCAGAGAGAGAAGTCCCCTGTTGGCCCTGGAGTAAGGCACCCCCATCACCTGTGGCAAAGGGCTAGGTGTGAACCCTTGTAGGCCTGATCACTGATTGGGAGTGAAGTTTAGAGCATTCCCTTGTCTTTGAAGAACCAGCTGTTCCTGCTGCACCCTCTATGGTGGGCCTGGGGCAGGGTGGGAAGCTCCTGGGCCCACAGGTCTTAGCAACTGCTCTCTTGGAGACAGGTCCTCCAGAAGATGGAGAGAGGTCAAGGTCCCTCCTATCTGCTGAGGCTCCAGATACACTTAAAAATGAAGAAAAATAGGCATGTTTATATTAGTAGTTGACAAACTAACATTTTTTAACACAAAGTTAATATATATATAACAGAGAGAGATAGAAGTGAAAGGGGGGCAGGGGGCAGTGCTAGAATCGTACATGTATACGCACACATACACTATTGGTTCTGTTCCTCTGGAGAACCCTAATATACTCTGTTTTAGTAAAATGAAATGGGGTAAAATGAAAGACAGATTAAAGTAATCTGTTCAAGATTATTTGCATTGATAAATGAAGCCAGAGCTGGAGTTCAAATTCAAATCCGCCATATTGCTTAACCAACGTGGCTACAGTGCATGGTTACGCCACATCATCTGGTCCCTGCCACCCCTCTGACCTCGTTTCCTTGCTCTCTTCTCCACACTCAGTCCATCTCACCCCCGGCCTCTGTGTGTTCCCTGTGCCAGGTATGCTTCTATCTCTTGGCCTTTACTCTGGCTGTTCCCACGCCTGGAACTTTCTCTCAGCAGATACCTACACTTTGCCCTCCTCCACATCGTTCAGGTCTCCGTACAAATGTCTCCTCAGAGAGGCCTTTCTG